GTATTTAAACGTCTTAGTCTTATTCTTTTTTTTTGTATTGTTCTTCTTACTGGTTCATATGTGTAAAATAAAACAAAAAAATAAGAAAACTGTAAGAATGAAGTATTTATAAAAGCACAGAGCGAAATAAAGTACACCCATCAAATAAGAATCCCAACTGTCTTAAGGCAAAAAGTAAAATATAGAATAGTATGTTAGTGTACATTTTATTATAACGGCAGTCACTTAGAATGAATGATACAGCAAGAATAGTAACTCTTTTTCTCATGGCACACGTTCTAAACTTTTCTTTCCTCTTTTTCACGAAGTCTTGTATTTAGTCTCTATATATTTCCTTTCTCACTGAAAGAAAGAGAGAAAGAGTATCAGCGATAAAGAAAGCATTGTTAGTCTATGGATTTTGTACCGAATATTTTTTTTGAAAGCAGGTAGACTGATAAACATAGAACAGTACAAATGGAAATGTAAGAAAATAAAAGAAAGAAGAATGGCTGAATCACTAGGCGTCTATCATTCATTATTAAACACATCCTACTTTTTAAGTACAAAAAAAGGTCAACTATTGTATACGATTACCCATTGTTATGATATCACTAAATTACGATGAATATTTTATTGAACTTCAGATATGCCAGAGATGGGCAAGTTTGATGTTTTTCAGTCCGAGCCAAGTCCAAGTCCGGTAGAGGCTAAGTTCAAATCAGTTCCAGTCTGTTCTTCAGCTAAAATTTTTCAGTCCCAGTACCCTAAATTTTAAATCCAATATCAGCCGCAGCATAAATTGTTTTCCATTTCCATTCTTTTTCTTCTATTTTGTCACCAGGAAGACATCATTTGTTTACATGGTTATAGTAATAAAAAACGAAAACAAAATTTTTTCTTGCTAAATTTTTTTTTGTTAAAAAACAAGAACAAGATAGGACTTTTTGTTTTCTTTTGTTATATGAAAATAATAACAAACGGCTAATTCATAAGAGAAAAGTTATATTTGAGTAAAGTAAGACGTGAGAGGATTTTTTTCGTCATCGTTGACCAATGTGGTCCTATAACAAACCCTTTTAGGGCAGCTCCTTGCGGGGCTAAAATGGTGAAACTTCTCTACATTGGCCGAAAGATGGTATTGGCAATAGTATACACTAACATAGAGGAGCAACGAAATTTGCAGCTGTCTTTTAAGATGAATACACTACCCTTTCAAGATGAATACACCCACCAATGTAAGATGAATACATCCGGCAGAGGAGGAGGTTAAAAAATAGGTCAAAATCAAGGCTTTTTAAGTATAAAACTTCAACTCCTTCTCCGTTAGAGATGCTGAAGGAGTTTTACAAAAATCGGATTGAGAGAATAACCGCTCAAACGCAGCCGAAGTGCTGGGCATGCATAGTATCTTTGTTGCTAACGTGCTCAACATCGAGTACAGAGAAGATTTATTGAAAATTAAAGTACTATCTGTACCTTCTTCTTTCAAATAACGCAAAATTTTCTCAGCAATAGCATTGTGCGGTATTGCTATAGAAGTTTTTGTTTTTTTAGGCAGACGAGTCTTTAGTGCAAAAAAATGAATCAATGAGCAAAAAAACAGACAGCCATCTTTTGATCACAGCTCAACTTAACTGATCATGCGGTAACATTAGAGAGATAGAAGAGTGAACGGATTTGAACTGAAAAGTCCAGTCACAACTGTGAGAAAAAATCAGTCCAAGTCTCTTATGCCTTCAGTCCCAATTAAATCATAGCCATCAGTCCGAACTTTGACTTGCCGATCTCTGAGATATGCACAAACCATTTGTCTGAGAGAGTAAATAAAAATTAATAAATATGGTTTAGATATCAAGCTTGCTAATTTAGTTATTAGTTAGCGATTACGTGCATGAAAATTGTGTACTAGAGATCTGCACGAGCAAGACTTTTTTTATCCGTGCCCGTAACTCTGCTGAGGATGTTTGTCCGTGCCTGTACGTGAATTTTTTTCGTATATGAATAGTCCGTATATGAAAAAAATTTTCTCGTCCACGCGTCTATATTATGTTGTCCTTTCTGTAGCATGTCTCTAATTGTCTATGTTTCATTCACAAAAAATTCAAATCTTCATACCATTCTGTTGCTCAAAAAATTTAAAATATCTTTTTGAGAAGCCCATGCCTGTCCGTGTGTCTTTCAAGTCTGCTCGTGCCCGTTCGTGTTTTTTTCGAGCCTGCCCGTACCACGGGCAGTACGGACACGCCCGCGGTCACGGGAATCTACGCCCGTATAGATCTCTGTTGTGTACACAACACATAGTTTCGCATAAAACTACCTATTTTTAAGTACTTATAATTAGGATTGCAATTCTGTTTTCTTTGTCTCATTTATTCTCACCTATGTGATATTTATTATCTGCATGACTTTTTTAAAAGAAAGGAAATTAGAAATTCTATATTTGAGAAGTAACCATAAACAGGCATCTTTGTAAGAATAGATTTTAATAACTACCGAATAAAACCTAATTACTCTTCATAAGAAGATGTCTTATGCTATTCTCTCTCGAATGGTCACCTTAAAAAAAGTTTGACATCTCTATATACTCTTTCGAGGATACGATCCTTTCGTACACCATAAAAAATATATTTCTAAGATATTGGATGATGAAAATTTGTTTGATATCGGCATTAAAAAGAGAATTGCTCCAGCTTACATTATAAGCCACTTTGTCCTCCCACGTTGTATAGTATTTTAGTGAGATATTAAATCTTTGCACTTTCTGCATCTTTGAAATAAAACGTATGTCACGAAAGATATATAGAAGCAAGCATTTTTTCAAAGGTAGTATTTAAAAGAGTAGAAAAATAGAAATATAGTTTAGTTTGATATGATATAAACTTTATTCTCTCGGAATACAACCGAAAAAAATATTTCATTATAGTATTCTAAACTAAAACTATCGAAAATTACAAATACATTTTTTATCGGGATAAGGTAATCTATGGAAGAATCATTTTCTGGAGGTCTGTATCTGCAATTTTTTTTGAAGATGGTTAATTGAAAGATACTAACCCCTTTTCAACCAGAAGGCCATGACCTTCTGTTACGGTTTTGTACATTCGATGATTTCGCAAAAAAATCCGTTTCAGACTGGGTTTGTATTCAGGGTGGTCTACTGATCTGGAAACATCTAGTTTTTAGAGTATCTCAACGATTGTTAGTAGTAAGTTCTACTAAACAATTCTGTAAGAAGATTAGCTGTCTTGTTTTTAATAAACTAGTAGTGCATATAGTCTAATTGTAGCTTTATATCATTTTCTAAGTACAAATAATACTAAAAGACTAATGAGTTTCTTAGTTCTGTTACAGATGAGAGAAGAGAGGGAGTTTACTAGACATAGGTAGCTCGTAAAATAGTCGCTACAATCCTAAGATCCCGTTGAAACAAAAAACTAAGTTTAATCTTTTTTTTCTCATGTAGATGAACATCAGATGCATTATTATCATTTTGTTTTTCAGTTTCTATCCTTCTTCTCATTCTTTCACACGTTGCAAATATGTACTCAAATGCATGAGAAAAAGAAGTTGTCAATTCTATTATTCTCGTTTCCTTTCTTTTTCTTTTTTACCAACGTTGACGGTTGTGACATTCGTTTATAGAACAAACAATACAAAGGCGTATTGTGCCTTTGAAAAAATTTTGTATTTATAAATTTATGTCAGTAGATTCTACATGTATAATCAAGGATGTCATATTTTCTGTTCTTTCTTTTTTTTGGTTTATTCGAGATAGAGATAGAAAGGATAGAAAGAGAAAGAGAGGTAGACTTTAGGTACTAATCACTGCATCATCGGTCGATATAAACTCTATATAAATCCTTGACCTACACATATACACCAATTAATTATCTTTCTCAGAAAATAAATAAATGGCAATTAAAAAGCATTAGAAGGCAAACACCATGGATCTGGGACGATTCCGTTCTATTCTATTGTCATTCTGTAAACTATTTTTTTTTCTTCTTTTATGCAAAAACAAGTATTTACTCACGATCATTATGCTTGTGTTTACTTATAATAAGAGAATAGAAAATACAGAATTTCCATGAATATTATTTATTAGACTTGTACAAAAATTCGAAATAATTTTCTTTTGTTTAGTGGGTTTTCAATGTTCAATCAAATATCACGGAGTCTGAATAAACAAAAAATTACAAAATAGCTACAAAAATAACTTATCTACCTGAATATTTATATTCAGTGTGTAAGAAGATGTAGAGAAGACTCAACATAAAAATATTATTTTAGTCTATAGATCATGTAGGTTTTTTTAGTTCCAGTTTAAGTTCCTCTAACATTTCACTAGATAGTTTAGATGTGATAGTAGAATGAGGATCATTGTTTTAAGTGGAGTATAAGAAAGATGTCTTATAGCTATTTTGATCAGTATTTGAGAATAATAAAAGTAGAAATACGTCTAAATTGGTTAAACTCTAGAGTTAAGTGAGTAAATAAGGTTTAAACCATGTGAATACAAACGCAAAAAAGACATAATCGATCTTTGTTTCTTTATCAGAATAAATAAATGCAAATATGTATCTTTTATAGTTTTACAGAGTCAAGCCAAATTTGTATTGAGGTTAGAAACTCATGTACACCGTAGACATAAATAAATGTTTAACTACAGTTTTTTATTATGTGACTTTGATATGCTGTTAGTTAATTTCAATTCGATTTAGACAAAAATAAAACATAAAATGAAAGATTCGCTGAAAAGTATGATAGAAAGATATATAAAATAGTTGTTGTCATATTTTTTGTGTTCGTTTTATTTCTAATAATTCATGGCATCTTTCGTCAGTTTGCGAAAAACCTTAGTTAAGCTTGGTCAAATAATTCTCTTGAAAATAATTGATAATGAATGAAGCTTCTTAGCTTGATATGGGAGCTATAAACCTGAAATTTCGTTGCCAATTATTGTCTATGCCCTTTTCTTTTTTAGAATATTTTATTTGATTTTCTCTACTATTTTGAATATGAATGATTTAACTGTGCATCCAGATAATTCACCCCCTATTATTATCGATCTAAATGATAGCAGTGAAGATAGTAGAAATACAAATTCGGTTACTGCTGATGAAAGTTGTGGAGAAATTGGTGGTAGTGTGAATCGACGAAAAGATGTTAGCCCCTGTTATGTATGTGGTGCCAGAGCTCATGGATACAATTTTGATGCGTATGTTAAAAAAATCATAAAACCTGATTTCATCGTAAATATTTACTCTAACTTTCCATATTTTTCAGGATCACTTGCGAATCTTGCAAGTAAGTACATAAAATGATTTTATCTGAGTTGTCACCTGTCATCATTTTAATAATTAATACTTTGTTTTTCAATATTTTAGGGCATTTTTCAGACGAAATGCATTAAAACCAATGGTATGATACGGTTATTTTCTTCCAGATTATAAAACACAAAAAAGTAACGTATCTATTTTAGGAAAGATTTCGATGTCGAGGTAGAGATAGTTGTGTTATCACATTAACCACACGTAAAAGATGTAAAAGATGTCGTTTAATTAAATGTTTCAAAGTTGGTATGTTTCGTTTTCTCGTATGATAATGATAAATGTTGAACATCTTAACTATAGGAATGAGAAAAGAATGGATATTGACAGATGAAGAAAAACGTCAAAAACGAAAAAAAATTGAACGAAATCGACAAATGAAACAAATAGCAATACAACAAGTATATATATTAATTAATTAATTGATGTTTATATGTATCTTTTTTTTTTTCATTTTTAACAGCAACAACAACACATAAGTCAATCACAACAATTGCCAGTGAGAATTTATAAACAAACGTCTATGTTCGATAAAGAAATAACATTTCTGGAACAAATAAATCTTGACTATCATTCTGTTGTCAAACAATATCCACAACCAATAAAATTTCGTTATAGAAATGACAATATAGCAATAACCGAGGATAAGGAGTATAAATTATTATTGGCAAGTATTTTTGTTTTTGTTCAATTATATATTTGACAATGTTTTCTAAATTTAGATTAAAGATTTAACACGAGAATTAACACAAATGACAATATCACGTTTATTACATTTTTTTTCATTTATTCCAGAATTTCAAGTATTAACATCTCTGGAAAAGATACATGTATTGAAAAGTAATTTATTACCCGTTTTCATGTTACATGGTAGTCTAACATACGACGCTGATAATGATACATTTGTCGATAAATCAACGAGTAAGAGAAAAAATATACAAATAACAATGGTCAACATATCGTCTAGTGTTTTTTATTTTTTTTTATAGGGGACCAACCATATGATGCCAAATATTTAGCATATGTTTATGGTTCAAATGTCTATAATCAATTTGTTGCCTTATCAAAAATATTAACATCATTTATTTATTTTTATTCATCATCTTCATTATCTCATGAACAGCTGACATCAGCTGATAGTCATAGTCATACACTTTTATTATTATTAATGATTATATTATTATTTTCAAATGGTTTTGAATCACATGAACAACAACAACGCCATCATAAAACATTAACAACAAATCGATCATTAATAAATTCATATATAACAGAGAAATTAGCAAAAATTCAACAATATTACATAGATATAACATGTAGATGTTTAAAAGATAAATTTGGACTTAAAGATCCAGAAAAAATATTTTCAAATTTATTACCTTATTTATTCAGTCAGTATTTCTGTATTGTAGAATATAATAAAACTAATAAATTTTATTTATTGTAGATTTACAAAAATTATGTTCAACATTAGCCAATGTTAATCTCTGCGAAAATGCCGAACAAGGCTTTAGTTCAAATATGATATCTTCTGGTAACGAAGAAAATCAAGCACCAGATAAACAACTTTATTCACCACCAGTAACATCATCGTCTACGACTTCTCCTTCATCGCCAGGTCTTTTATCTTGTTCTCCCAGTAGTAATAATAATCTTAGTGCAACAACAACTGCATTGTATAATTGTCAAGTGAGACGGAACAATAATCGTCTGTCTGATTCGTTATAGAAAATTTATTTTCTCTATTTTATTTTTATTACATACGTAGAATAAATAGTGAACATACAACTATTTCTGTTGTCGTAAACAAGTAAATATCTAACTGTGATCATACATATACAGTTCTCATCTAATCCTTATCTGTAGAATCTCCTCATGTCAGAACAATCAACAACTACAACCATTCAATTATTTTTTAATTACAAAACATTCCAACGCCAAAAATGATCATGTCTTTCTGTGGACTCTCTCTATCAGAACGTTGCATGATATGTACAAATAATTTGATATCTTGTCATTGTTTTTAATCTGTGTTATTGTATGTAATGCTATGTAGATTTGTGCACTGTTTTTTATTCTAAACAAAGTACTTTTTATTTCTTTTTATTTTAAAATAGAACTAGAGGCTAATTACGCTTCACAAAGATCAGATGAAATATCAGCTCGAAAAATACAAATATTCCGCTAGTAAGCAAGCTTAGAAAGCACAAAACAACTGCGATAACATTATAGATGAGCATCAATTAAGCGAGTCATTATTCTCATTCATTATACCAAATACCACACAGGATGATAGTTCACGTATACTCATATATTTTACTCAAAGAGTGTATTACCTGTCCAGCTATCGGTTAATTTTTTTGTAAATTTCCTACTTTTTGTCAAGATTGTAGCACAGCGTTTCGAAGAAAGCATATACAAAGCTCCGAGACACCTCACTTTAAAAAAAAAAGTATTTTCTTTTAGTTAATGAGAAAGCAAACGTTGATAGTTTATCTCGCTTTAAAACGGATGCTCTATTCGTAGCTGTAGCGTACGATAGTTTCGCAGCTGGAGTATAGGACGATCAATGTGAAGAAAACGCGGTACACGAATCATCTACATATTTTTTCTATATACGCTAGCGGGTAGGCTGAGGAAAATGGATCACTTCAGTTTTTTCTATTTCCAGGCAAAGTAATGCAACAAAATTATTTTTTAACTTTATCATAAATGAAAAAAAATGTAATAAACGTGATATTGTCACTTATGTTAATTCTCGTGTTAAAGACTTAATTGTTCCAGAAATGTTATTTCTTTATCGAATATAGACGTTCACTGGACATTATTGTACGGGCGAGTTTTTATTCTTTCTGCAACTAGGTATGCACCGGTGTCGGTTAACCGATACCGAAAAAAATGATGTTCGGTTTAAACCGACACCGAAAAACTCTCAAACATTTCTATCTAATGTTTAAAATGATATAAAAGTGAGCACATAATATCTGACTACTATTGTCAAAGAAACATCTGCTTTTATCTATATCTGTTTCAGTCAACCGACAATCGAAGAACTAAAACCAGAAAAAAGCACACAGAAATCTACATCTTGACTTAAGTATTGTTGTTACTGTTAAAAATGGTATGTATTAACTGTAATCTAGTTCACGCAGCTGATTCTACATTATGTCCAAAGTACTTAGAGTTGCAGATAGGTATATACCGGTTTTGGTTTCAAACCGGAAAACCGACACAAAAAAACCGAACATTCAAGAAATTTTCATAGATGGTAGGATACTATATAATATCTATAGGCAAAAGATCATTGAAGTCTGCGTTAGATATCTGGAGAGGTCCTCTCGTTAGTATTATTATTAAACTTTGTGTCTCGATAGCTATAT